GCCATGCACGTACACACGCCCGGCTTGAGTTTAAGCTAACGGATCTGAGACTCGAACTGCGGTCGACTACATAGGAGTCCAGTGACATAGCCATTATGCCATCTGCTGGTCCCCTCAGTTATGTACTTCTGACCTCTCTCTTTAAAGTTGCAAACACTACCATCATCTGGTCACTCGCCAGCACTGTACTCGATTTTGATTTCTTCACAGCAGTAATGACTGCAGTATATGTCCAAATTCTATTTACCTGTTTGTTTAGTGGCCACCTACCCAACTAAGACATAAGCTTCAGGAAGCCACACCAAGAAACCCGTCTTGTTCACCACTATATTCCTAGCCCCAGGATACACAGTCTAACATAGAGTAGATGCTCATGAATATGTATTGAATAAATGAATAAAAATTCTCAGAGTTCACTGGGTATGTTAATGAGTATTAGTGTTCAAGACAGGTATTATCAGAGTTACTCAGCTTGTATTGAAATTGTGCTGTGCTCACCTTTGTCCACACACATGCCCAGCCCTGCTCACCTGGCATCACTCTGATTTCTTTGCCTCTGGGTTCAGTCGGGTGTGGCCAGTGGGAAATGGGAATAAGAGATGCTTTCACTGACTGGATTAACATTGTGGGCCAGGTCAACCTTCCTCTGTGCCCCAGAAAACCCATCTCCATCATTTCATTTGACAGTGTACAATGATGACTTATCAATTTGTCCCGCAAGATTTTTGTTCTCTTTTCTCTTTTCTTTTTTTCCTATTCTCTTCTCTTTTTCTCTTCTCCTCCTTTCCTCTCCTCTTCCTTTCTCCTTTTCCTTCCCTCCCTCCCTCCTTTCTTTCAGTTTTGCCAGAGAGCATGTACTCTCACCAGAGAGAGACAGAGAGGGTAATGAGAAAGCATCTTCTCACAGAGAACAGTCATGCTGCAATCCCTTCTCCCTCCTTTTGAGATTTTGGCGCACCCACAAACACACCTGGTTTTTTTTTTTTTTTGGAGAGGTTTTCGCTATAGGGAGCGTGTGCTCGCCAGACAGACAGACAGAGACATAGAGACAGAAAGCGAGAAATCACCCCCCAGGTGGGATGGTCACACCTCAATCCCTTCTCCTTCATTCTCCTCTTGGGATCTTGGGCACGCATGCACACGCGCCCGGCGTGAGTTTTAAGCCACCGGGTCTGGGACGCGAACCGCGGTCGACTACGTGGGAGTCCAGCGACATAGCCATTATGCTAACTGCTGGTTCCCAACACCTGGTGTGTTTTTCAAGCCTCAGAGTCCAGGGCTTGAATAGAGCAGTTGGCCACATGGGATCCAGTCACTTTAACCTCCAGGATTCTGGCTGGTCCCTCCTCCAAGATATTCAAACAGAGATTTCAGGACTGGTCCACAATTTTAAAAAGTGTAATTAGGGCCAGCTCTATGGCCTGGTCATGAAGGCAGCATGGCCATACATGGTTCAAGTCCTAGATGTAGTGGCTGGGGAAACATGCCAGGAGCATGCTGTGCCTGGAATCCTGAAAGGAGGGGGAGATGGAGGAGAAAGGATTTGGGCATGACCAATTCTCGATGGGGGAGGGGTTCTTTCTCTCCTTTCTCTGTCTTTGGTGAACACACACACCCTCTAGCAAGAAAAACAAAGTGCAATTAAAAAACTACAGTACTGTAGCCAGTCGGTGGCGTGACGGTTAAGGCACTGGACTCCCACATAGCTACCCATGACAGGAGTCCTGGGCCTGGAGGCTCGAGAATCACACCACACACATGTGTGCCCAAAATCGCAGGAGGAGAATGGAGAAGGGACTATGGTTTGGCTATCCCTCCATGGGGGTGATTTCTTTCTCCTTTTTTTTTTTTAAAGAGGTTTTTGTTATAGGGTGTGTGCACTCACCAGAAAGACAGAGAGAGACAGAGAGATAGAAGGCGAGAAATCAGCCCCCAGGGGGCATGGCCACACCACAATCCCTTGTCCTCCATTCTCCTCTCAGGATCTTGAGCACGCACACTTGCACACATGTACACGTGCCTGGCGTGAGTTTAAGCTACCAAGTCCGGGATTTGAAGCATGGTTAACTTCATGGGAATCCTGTGACATAGCCATTACACTATCTGCTCGTCCCCCAATGGGGGTGATTTCTTACTTTTCCTCTCACTGTCTCTCTCTCTCTAGTAAGTGCATGCATCCTCTGGCAAAAACCTTAAAAATTAGTAATAACAATAAAGAAAATTAAATAATTCTTGAAACAAAAAACCTCCAGTATTTAGAAGCACACATCTGTTGGGGGCTGGCAGGTGGTGTGATGGTTAAGGGTGCTGGACTCCCACATGGCCAACTGCAGTTTGAGTCCTAGACCTGGCAGCTTGTTGAGAAACACTTTCTCTATCTCTCTCTCTCTCTCTCTCTCTCTCTCTCACTCTCTCTCTCTCCCTCCCTCTCTCCCTCCCTCCCTCTCTGGCCAAATTAAAATAAATAATTAAATAAAATAATTTAAATAAGTAAATAAATGGATAAAGTTAAATAAAACAATTCTTTTAAAAAAGCATACATCTGTCAAAGCTGTACATATAAAATGCATGCATTTTATTGCAGCATGTAAGTTATAGCACCATAAATGTGACTTCTTTTTTTTTTTTTATTTTATGCACTTTTTTTTTGGAGAGGTTTTTGCTCTAGGGCACATGTGCTCGCCAGACAGACAGAGAGAGACAGAGAGACAGAAAGTGAGAAATCACCCACCAGGGGGGCTGGGCACACTGCAATCCTTTCTCCTCCATTCTCCTCTCAGGATCTTGGGCACATGCGCACAGCGTGAGTTTAAGCCACAAGGACCGGGACTCGAACTGCGGTCGACTATGTGGGAGTCCAGCAACATAGCCATTACACTAACTGCTGGTCCCTTCTTTTTTTTTTCAATATTGCCAGAGGGCACAAGTACTCACTAGAGTGAAAGAGAAGAGGGAGAATACAATGGCTCAGTGTGCATGATCACACCACAATCTTTCTCCTTCATTTCTCTATCTTACTGGGATTTAGGGCATACATGCACATGTGCCCCGAGTGTTTTCAGGTTGCAGGAAAATAAGGATTCAAATCACGACTGGCCATGTAGGATCCAGCTCCCTTAAGTACTGCAGTAAGGGGCTGGCCCAAGATGATTTTTTTAACTGCCAGAAGGCAAATGTGCTCAACGAAGAAAGAGAGAAAGAGACACTGCATACTCTTCAATGGGTCATGGTTCATGTCGCAACCCCCTTTTCCTCCATTTCTCCTTTCCATCAAGAGTCTGGGTATACACAGGTACCCAGAATATTTTTCAAGTCCCAGGACCAGGATCTGAACCCTGTTTGGTTATGTGGGATCCATGTCCCAAAGTACTACCCTTAACTGAGTTATGGATGACTTTAAAAAGAAGTCATGATATACACACTAAGAAAATTGAGGCATTTTACATACTCTACCATCACTTTAAAAATGTGAAGACTGGGGGCCAGCAGGCAACATAGTGGTTAAGGTGCTGGACTCCCTCATGGGTGACTGTAGTTCGAGTCCCAGATCTGGCAGTTTGAAAAATCATACTGGGTGCATATGTTCATGCCCCCAATCTCAAGAATGAAGGACAAGGGACTGCAGCATGGCCATGCTCCCCTGGCAGGGCAGGGGGGATCCCTCACTTTACTTCTCACTACCTCTGTCTCTCTCCAGTGAGTGCACAGACTCTACGGCAAAAATCTTAATAACAAAAAGGCAGACAGTGAAGACTGTCTGCCTTCTCCAATCAGCATTAACTTGGCAGGAACCTGTCTAGTCAGCTGCTTCCCTCCTGACATCTAGCCAGGACTGAGATACTGGGAGGGAATAGATTGGAGGTAGGGCTGGGGACAGGCAGGTGTTATCTCAGAACTCCAGGGATGAGAAACTTCCATAGGCAAACAGACTTTCAATAACATCTGTGGCTCATGGGCTGGCCCCAAAGCCTAGTGGTTAAAGGAACAAGATCCCACATGGCCAAGTGTGGGGCTCGAATCCCAGATCTGGTGGCTTGAAAGACATGCCAGGTACATGCGCTTGTACACCCAGAATTCCAACAAGATAGAGAAACGGAGAACGGATTGGATGTGACCATGCCCCACTAAGGAGTGCTTTCTCCTTCTTCCCCTCTCTATGGCAAGTGCGTGCATCCTCTTGCTCATTAAAACAAAACAAAACAAAAAAACTAAAATACATTTGCATCTGACAATTCCCAAATCTTTATCTCAATTCTGACTTCTATACTTCAGACTATTTTATCCAACTCTCTAACAGCCATCTCCATTTGAACGCCACACGTTTAGCTCCACATATCCAAAATGGAACACCATTTCTACCAGCCCCATTCCTCCACTTTCTACAATCCTCTTCTCTTGATAAACTTTCACCTTTTACTCACCAATCTAAACTAGTGTTCAGCAACTTCTCTATTTCTTTTCCCAGGTGTATTCAAACATCACACCCTGTTCATTCTAATTCCCAAGAGATCTTACAAGCCATCCACTTCTCTCCTTCATCAAGTCCACCATGCTCTCTTCAATGGAGCACTGAAATAGCCCCCAGCAAGTCACTGGGCTTCTGGTCTTCATTTATTTTCATACCACAGCCAGGATCACTTTCTAAAGACTCCTGCTTCCCTTCCACAGCTCACCATTCATTCACTGACCAGACCAAGACCGTCGCAGTCCCCACAGTGCTCATGTGGAGCTTAGAAATCCAAATGTCTTCACACAGCGTCGAAGGTTTCGAGTGGTCTGGGCCTTGATTGGGCTTCTCCAGCCTCTGACTCAACCATCAACCCAGTTCTTTAGTTGTTGCACTTACAAATACAACCACATGTAGAAACTTGTTGATGCTAGATCTCATTTATGAAGGCAGCTTCTGATTTTGAGCCAAGTCACTAACTTAAGGAAAGGTACCTACAAGTAAATCAAAAAGAATTTCCCTTGTTCACCTAAGGTGCATGCCAGGCTCTTACCTTAGGTTCTTTTAAGTAACAGTGCATGGCCTGAGTAACGTCTGCAGCATGGACTGCATTGTGGTAAGGATTCTGACTGTGGTAATCCTCTTGAATCATAACTGCATGGAAGAAGAAATATCCCAATTTTATTGTAAATCAGTGACATGCACAAGTACACACACTGTGCTCGTTATGTCTTCCCGCTCATACTCTTCACGTGGTCATCAGCTGAAACTGGCCAGATTCAAACATGATAATCCCTCACAGCTTACGTGTATATCCAAAGAATCTAAATCAATGTGCCCCCAACTTATTTGAAGTTTTTTTTCAACTAGAATGTACTCACTTCAAAACTGTCAACTACGTATTTCTTTTTTATGTTTTCTTTTTTTAAAAAAAGTGAATCTACCATGGTACCACACTCTTCTGACTCTTTTTATTTAAAGAGTTTCTCAATTTAACAAAAACAGGACATACCATCAAACACATACTGATTGTGCCGGGCCCTGTCCAGGTACTGGGAATTCAGCAAACAAAAGCAAACAAAACTGAAGATGCTAAATTCACAGATTTGAGGGAACATGAAAAGGACAGCGTGGGTGCATCCCAGTGGGGTACGCTGTGAATGTGGATTTCGCTTTTCAATATTAAGGATGAGTTTTCTGTTAGCCTTGCCTCATGCTCAGTATCTATTAGGCTACCATGAAAGAGCAGGCTAAGAATAGGATGGGGCTCTGCCCTGCCACCAAATCTGCACTGCAGCCCAAGCATCACTCTAATCCTGAGTTCTCAAAGAAAAGTGAGCCCAACTTAAAGTGGTGAAATACAACCCACTGGTGACTGAGAAAGTGCATTAGTATTCTGTATTTACTTTGATCTCACCCTTTAAAATAGCCTCTTTTTTTGAGAGGTATTAGCTATAGGTTGTGTGCGCTCGTCAGAAAGGCAGAGAGAGACAGAGAGATAGAAAGCGAGAAATCACCCACCAGGGGGATGGTCACGCTGCAATCCTTTCTCCTCTATTCTCCTCTTGGGATCTTGGGCATGCATGCAAACGTGCCCGGCATGAGTTTAATCCACTGGGTCCACGAGTCGAACCCCAATCGGCTACATGGGAGTTCAGTGACGTAAGCATTACACTAACTGCTGGCCCCCAAATAGCCTTTTAAATACCCTTGCTAATACCTATTTTTAAAAATATATGTTCTTTATAATTTACATATTAGTGTAACATCTGGGACATACAATTTTTAAATAAATATTTATAAAAAAGTTTCTCAAAAGTTATTGGTAATAAATATATCTTAGTTTGGTACTTAAGAGAAAAGAAAATACTATCTTCTTCCTTTAAAAAAAAAAGTGAGAGAGAATCTTCATGCTCTTAATTTTTTTTTTCTTTTGAGAGATTTTTGTTATAGGATGTGTGTACTTGCTGGAGAGGCAGACAGAGAGAGAGAGAGAAAGTGAGAAATCATCCCCCAGGGAGGATAGCCATGCTGCAATTCCTTCTCCTCTATACTTCTCTTGAGATTTTGGGCACACACAGGCACGCGCCCAACGTGAGTTTTAAGCTACCAGGTCTGGGACTTAAACCACATTCAACTACATAGGAGCCCAGGGATATAACCATTACACCATCTGCTGGTCCAAAAAGTTTTTAAAATTATTTCTTGGGACCAGCAGGTGCTGGGATAGTTAAGGCACTAGATTCCACATGGCCAACCATAGTTTAAGTCCTGGATCTAGCAGCTTGAAAATCATATCAGGCACGTGTGCATATGTACCCAAAAGTCCTGAGAGGAGAATGGAATAGGGATCACAGCATGGCCATTTCCCCTGGAGGGTCATTTTTTACTTTCCCTCTCAATCTCTCTCTCTCTGGCAAGTATAGGCACCCTGGGGCAAAACCTTTAAAAAATAAATGGCCGAGTAGGTGGTGTAGTGGTTAAAGCACTGAATTCCCACATGGCTGACTGCAGTTCAAATCCCAGGCATGGTGGCTTGCTTTCTCACTTTCTCTTTCTCTCTCTGGTAAGCATATGTGCCCTGTAGCAAAAGTAAAAAATAATAATAATGATAAATAAAATTAAATGTTTAAGAAAAAAAGATATTTCTCTTTTTTTAAGAATTATTTTAATCTAATTTATTATTATTTTTTCAATTTGACCAGAGAGAGGGAAAGTGAGACAGCAAGTCACCAGGTCCAGGACTTGAACCCCAGTGGACCATATGAGAGTTCAGCACCTCAATCACCATGCTACCTGCCAGCCCCAAAAAAGGTATTCAAGCACTTGAGCTATTTTTCTAGTGGAGCGATGTTATGTAAAGATCACTCTGCACATTTAAACACATTCAAAATTATCTTTAAAGTCTACTGTCATAGAGATTTCAGGGACCAAAAAACAAGACACCTAAGTGTAACATATCCCTTCTTTTAGCCTTCAAAAATGCAGAAGCATATAGAAACTGTGTCATCTCTGTCAGCAAGCTGTGGCTGACGTAGAAGACTCATCCAAGCTGTGGCTGATGCAGAAGACTGATTGCCAACGCATCCCAGTTCTTCACTAGTCCCTGTACCTACGGCTCTGAGACTTCACAGCTTTCCCACCAAGCAGCACACTTCATCCCCAGTCTGAGCTGTCCTGGCCAACAGGATGCAGTGTCAGTGAAGGTGGGCCAGTTCTGGGCTTGCAGCTCCAGTGGCCTGTACACTTAGCTCTCTCCTGGAAACCAGACCTGCTGCTGCTACCTGAACAATAAATAATAAATAATTATTTATTTTTTGCTTTTAATGGGAATCTATTATGATGCTATGCTCCTCTACCTCTTTTTAATTTAAGAAGAGATCATGCATAGCTGAGTAGGTGGGGCCCGTGTTCCAGGTGAGGTCCCAGGTAAGGCCTGTCAAAATGCAGCTTACCTGTTGCTGACTGCAAACAAATAAAAGAGCTTAGCCAGACCAGAAGCAGCACTCAATACCCCCATGGATGGAAGGGCTAAAAAAAATGTGCATTTTTGGCTACTAATTTTGGCTGATTTGTTTAAGAGCAATAGCTAACAGACATAACTGATACAAAATTTAAACAAGTTCTTGTATAAATCTTGTTAGTATTAAATGAGTTAGCATCACTTACCTAAAAATCTACGAAGTTTCATCATATCTAGATGAAAGTACTCAATTAATCCATGAAGACTAAATAAATGAAAGGTTAAGCTTACTAGACTATTTCCTGGAAAGAAAGAAAAGATACTACATTAGTAAGAAATGCAGGCTAATATCATAACATTGTTTTTCCAGTGCAGATTTTGAACATAAAACATGGAAAGCATTAATTCCTACTTTTTATTCATCTACAATTTGCTTCCTCTTAGTTTACCAGTTATAAACTTCACATATAACATCTTTGTTCTACTTGAAGAACAACAGTTTTTGTTGCTTGCTCCCCACAACAAAAGAACTGAAAGATAAACATTTTCAAATATATATATTTTTAAAATTTTAAGGCATCAAAATAATTAGAATTGGTAGATTGCTGCACACCAAACAAGCCAATTTAACTTTCCAAAGCACCTCAAAAAGGCCGCACTCAATCTCTCCTCTTACCATCTCCTCTACCAACCTTGCTTCATCTGAAATAGCGCTGTCCCAGAGTAAGCAGCCTTGGCAAATTGTCAGGGGGAGCCATGTCTATTCTTACCCATACTGGGACAGGAGGAGGGATCGGTGACACCAGGATCCTCCTCAAGATCCCAAGATCACAACTATGAACTCAACCACTTTTGCCTTCTCTATACTTGCAGCAGAATAGAGGGGAAAAAAATTAAAAATCACAGAACTAGGCAGAACCCAATCAATGGCCAACACCATCCAGAAAGCTTACATTTTTCCAGCGAAAAATTTTTTTTTTCACGTTTTAAAATGCCTAGTTTTGAGTCTTCTATCTCCTCTTAAAATTTCAATATACTGGGACCAGCAGTTAGCGTAATGGCTATTTCGCTGGACTCCCGCGTAGTCGACTGCAGTTTGAGTCTCAGACCCGGTGGCTTAAAACTCACACCAGGCGCGTGTGCGTGCGTGCCCAAGATCCCAAGAGGAGAATGGAGGAGAAGGGTTTGCGGCGTGGCCATCTCCCCTGGGGGGTGATTTCTCGCTTTCTGTCTCTCTGTCTCTGTCTGGCGAGCACACGAGCCCTATAGCAAAAACCTCTCCAAAAAAAGAAAAAAAAAATTCAATATACTCACTACTCACTTTCCATCCATCTCCTCATCCTTCACAACAAATACAGAAATCTCAAGCTTTCCTGTTTTTTTTTTTTTTTTTCAAATGCTAATCTATCCACATCTCCTCAGGGGCCTTCCTTTCCCATCAGATGCCCAAAGCAATTAATCAGTCTCTCTTTTCTACACTGTCCCAATAAGCACATGCATTCAGACATCCTCTAGATTCCTATCTGTGAAAGGACAAAGAATCTCAGCCTCTCCTGGCCCTCCTCCATTTCCCACAGCCAAGTTGTTTGAAAGTGCTGCTACACAAAATAGGGGAATGTCTGTTGTCCTCGTCCTCAGCTTCTACTCCTTCATCACTGACAACCAGAGTCACACCAAGTGCAGAGATTAGATTTGAAAAAGCTACCATTTTTACAATGTTTACTTTTGCCATGGACAATTTCATTTTTTATACCTTCATTTTTTATTTCTCAAAGTTCTATAGGCTTCCATAGGACACATAATATGCTATTCTAAGAATGAAATAGACTATGTTTAAGGGGTATGATCTCATCAATTATTGCCAACCAACACTTGGATAATAACATAAACCTGATTCTACTATAAAAGAACTAGTCCCACACTGAAAAGATGTAATCATAATATTTATGGAGGATAACAAGGGACTATTTGGTTGAACTCATTATTGAAAACCACAGTTGTCAGGCTAGCCCTATACTATAGGGGTTAAAGGAGCCAGACCCCACATGGCTGACTGTGGTTCAAGTCCCAGCCCCAGCAGCTTGAAAAACATGCCAGGTGCATGTGTGTACATGCCCCAAATCCAATAGAAATGAGAAATGATCACAGCATGACCATAACCCCTGATAGAATGCTATGCCCTGCAACTCCCCAACCCTATAAGCATACATGTTCTCTGCCAATTAAAAAAAAAATAGGAAAATACTGGATCAATAAGCAAAAAGGGACAAAACTATATGCTTTGATATCATGAACATTTATCAGCCAGAACTCATGAAGCCTAAGCAGTCTTGAAAGGAAAGGTGCTCTAATTATACAATGCAAGTTGAAGGAATTTTCTTCTGCCCATTTATTACCAATATTTCTTCCAGTAAAGAAATCCAGCAACTTCTAGATAGCTGTAGTTTGACTACAGTTCAAGTCCTGGACAAAATAGTTTGAAAATCATGCCAGAAAAGACCAGCAGTTAGTGTAATGGCTATGTTGCTTAACTCTCATGTAGCCGACCGCGGTTCGAGTCCTGGACCTGGTAGCTTAAACTCAAGCTAGGCACGTGTGCGTGCGTGCCCAAGATCCTGAAAGGAGAATGGAGGAGAAGGGATTGAGACATGGCCGTCCTCCCCTGGGGGGCGATTTCTTGCTTTCTATCTCTCTGTCTCTCTCTGTCTTTCTGGCGAGCACATGCCCTATAGCAAAAACCTCAAAAAAAAAAAGAAAGAAAGAAAATCATATCAGATACATGTGCATGTGCACCCAAAATCCCAAGAGGAGAATGGAAAAGGGACTGCAGCATAGCCATTACATCCCCCTGCCTCCACCCCTGGGAGGTGATTTCTCACTGTCCCTCTCTCTGTCTCTCTTCAGGGAGTGCACGTGTCCTATAGCAAAAAATTTAAAAAAAAAAAAAAAAAGACCAAAAAAAATCAGAGATGGGTAGCTAACCATGGGTGGGTTCTATTAATCTCAAATGACCTGGAATCAACCATTCAGTCACCCTCTCTACAAATCAATTTCAAGGAGTGAGATGATTACATGGAATGCACAGTGCTCAACTAACTAATGAAGACAGCTGTCTATTCCTTCTTCCATCTTACACTGTCAACTCAATCCACTTTTATCACCAAGCCTCCTGACTAGTAAGGCATGTACTTTAAAAAAAAGATTTAGAAAAGAACGATCAACTATTTCAATGAGAGACAAATGTCCCAATAGACTAATAAGAGACTATGAGCTGTTTGAGTTTACGTAAGGATAACCTAAAAGGCATTGAGGGTGGGACAGTTTTGTCTTTATTTATCTTTAGATGATTACCAACGTACTAACGTAATATTTGTGTTGAGTTAGGATGGGAAATTTCCCATATGCAAGGAAAGTGGGCTATCCTGGTATACTACCCCATTTTCAAAAGAAGGAGGCCTATGAGAGAGACAGCTGTGTTGCTGACCTCACATCCTTTTCCATGTGGAGGGGCCAAAGTGGGGGCACAGAGAGGAACGGAACACTTAGTCACCGCAGGGGAATGGAAAGGTGGAAGAGAACTAGAAAGAGGGAAGAATAAAAAAGTAGGTAAGTGGGAAGGCAGCTTTGCTGGTGAAGGCCAAGTTCACCAGTTTTGCCTAGGGTCAGTCTATTTATTTTTTTAAAGGATTTTAAAATTTTATTTGTTGTTATTATTATTTTAATTTGCTATAGAGCACTTGTGTTCACCAGAGAGAAAGAGAGAAAGCCAGCTGCTAGATCTGGGACGCAAACTGCGGCCAGCCATTTGGGAGTCGAGCACCCCAGTCACTATGTCACCTGCCGGCCCCAGTCCAATTTATTTTTCTGTCAGCAGAAAAGCAGAAGGGGTCTACAGAGGTATTTTCCTACTCACTGCCATACAGCTTAGCGGGAATGATCTAGTGATACTAAAAGACCACGCTGACTCCTAAGATAAAGTGGTTTTGATTATCTATTTGACATATTTGACTTCCTTACAAAAGGAGCTTCAGCCCAAAGTGAAATAGAGAATAACAGGTGATTTCAAAGCCCAGCGGCGAACCACCTATGTATGTCATCCTACAGTCCGTGCCTTCCTCTCAGTACTTCCTGCTCTGCCTCATTTCATTAAACAGCTAGTTAGAGCTATTCTGACAAAACACTGGTCGAACGATGTGTACCACCGAGAATTATGCTCCAATTTTTATCCTAAATATAAACAATTCCCAAAGGGAATCCTGTTCCTGTTACCAAAGAAAATGTCCTTGTTCCCAGAGAATAAGGAAACATGATCCCTTTGACTGAAATAAAACTCAGGAGGGTCAGGCAGATCAGAAACCTGTGAGCATTTTTTCAAACCACTCATATTCTCTGTAGAGTCTGACTAGGCCTTCTGAGAAAGCTACAAGCTTTCCCCTCCCCTCCACCAGGAAGCAGTGCCACAGAGAACCACTGAGCACCCCTAACCTGAAATCTAAAATGTTCCCAAGTCCAGAACTTTTTGGGTGCTGACATACATAAGTGAAAAATTCCACACCTGACTTCATACAACAGGTCACAGCCAAAATACCACAATACAAAACACTGTATGAAACTACGTTCTGGGTATGCATATATGAAACATAAATGAATCGGAAACATCAGTTTTGTGCTTAGACTTGGGTCCCATCCCCAAGATATCTCATCATGTATACACAAATATTCCAAAACAGGGGGAAAAAATAAAATCTAACAGTTCTGGTCTCAAGCACTTTGGATAAGGAATATTGACCCTGCACACCATCTCTCTCTCTCAAGCATGCAGAGAAAGAAAAGCCTGAGAACCACAGGCCAGAAAAGACACCTCTCCAAAGCCAGTGAATCCACCCTACCTCGGGGGCTATCATAACAGGGATACGGCATCAGAGGGCGTCATTGTAAATGGCCACAACATGACAGAAACCAAAACAGAAAAATCAAGAACACAATATGATAATAATGTCCACTTTAGGTTATTAATAATAGCAACATCAGCCAAGTTATAGTGATGACGACTTCTGATTACTGCTACTGGTAACAACTGAAAATAAAATTATGAGACTGACTAGGTTTTTAAAAAAGTCACTGAAAAAGGGACAACATGGGACCAGTAGAAGACAAGGAGGTTAAGGTGGCTGGATCCCACGTGGACAACTGCACAGTTCAAGTCCTGGACCCAGCAGCTTGAAAACACCCAGGGTATGTGTGTGTGTGCCCAAAATTCCAAGAGGAGGATGGAGAAGGGTTTATGGCTTGGCCAGGAGAGTGATTTCTCACTTTTTCTCTCTCTATCAAGTAAAAACTGAATTTAAAAAAAAAAAAAAAAAAAGGAACAAAACAATGGTCCCTCTGCTGGCAGAAAGCTCATAACCTAAGTAAATAAAAACAACCCACTGTACTATCAGTGCAGTAATCTAAAGACAATAATTGAGTAAGTCAAATTCTTCACTTACCATTTGTTAGTCTATCAAATAGAAAGATATCAAAATTCCAATTCCCAACTTTTTCCAGCATACACTGAAAGGAAAACAAAACATTTCTACTGTAATTTAATTTCAATAACATTATGTATCTTTTGTAGACAGTCCATAGAGAAGTTAAGGAAAATGTAAAGCGATTGATTTACTTAAGAAATATCAAGTATCAGTCTCCTTTTGGTCATGACATAATTTCTTGTTGGCTCCAAAAACATCCAAAGGAAAAAACTTCATTTAAAAAAATTATTTCGTTTTTCATTTAATGAATATACAGGTAAAGTTAGTGTTTTTCTCACATTATGCCTATAGTCCTACTAACTTTCGAGAATTCCAATATAATTTAACATCCCAGAAGAGTGGTTCATATGTTCCATGGTCTAAAAACTAGATTATAAAAATCCAGTAAAAATAAGTTATAATAGCTACTGAATGCTTTCTGCAGTCCAGACACTATTATAAGCACTTCACTCATTTTTTCTACTTCTCAAGACAACATTAGCAAGCATGAATTGATTTCAATCTTCATTGTATAAATGTGGAAATGGGAAAAAACAAACAAACAAAAAAAACCATTTCTCTGCTAGAAAGTAACAGAGTTCTGATTCTGGTACCCAACCACCTGATTTGACAATATACCATGCTTAAATTATTATTCAGTGTTCAAAAAAGACTCCCAACTTAATGAAACAGTTATATTCTTTAAGTATCCTTATAAAATAATTAGTAGAATTTATTACAGTAATTGTTAGAAGGATGGGCACTTCAACCAAACAAATATCATCCCACAAACACCCTAAAAATCAAATATTCTTAACCTGAACATTTGGTGGACTTTTTCAAGAAATAACTTTTATTTTGTATTAAAAGTCCACTATTGTACACATGTGTAAACTGACACAAACAGCACTAAGACGCTGCTATAGAGACTGTCAATTATGACATACTCGTAATTCCCACGATGACATAGATCAATATTCTCGTTGTAAAAGGCAGAACTTATCTAATTTTTAAAACTTACAAAGAAAATTGAACAGTTTCCACTGATTTATCAAACAGGGATGCAAATATTTTCACTCTAATACAATCATAAAGACCCAGCCTTATCTACACAAATTTACGGAATCTGTTGTAAATGTTAAGTCAAAGGATAATGAAAAATATATTTAAATTCAAGATTTAAAATCCTCATTTAGTCAGAAAACAAATTCGTGTAACCTCAGTTCATTAAGGCCTCCTATAAAGATGAAGTAAACAATGCTCACAATCATCCACTATAACTGAGACACCTCTAAAGCCTCAAAATCATATGAAAACTTATTTGACTGAGAGTTCTGAGAACCCCCCCAACCCCCGTGTTGGGGTTACTCAGCTGAGCTGAACAAACGAGTCCCATGTGCTCTCTAGATCTTAGTTTCCCTATCAATTACAATGTTAGATCAGGTAATCTCTAATATGCTTCCCAGCATTAAGATTCTTTGTGATCTTATAGTTTAATGTTCTATCATCTACCTATTGTTAATTTTATCATTAAAAATACTTGCACTACTTTAGTAATTTCATAAATTTCCCTGGCTCTGTAATACTTAATTATAAAACAAACAGCTGCATGAAACAAAAACCTAAAAAATGGGCACAACTCCTTTTCAAATAAAAAAAAGTTCTACAAGTCAGTATTATTAATATGGGACTTCAGTAAGCCTATTGAAAAATTAATGTTTTCTTGAAAAAGTATACATACCTTAGCTTGTCCATTATAATCATCATCTAAAATGTTTAGAGAATTTGAAACTGTAGTACCACGAAAAAAGCGTGAGGATCTAAGATACCGCTGGAAACTTAGTAACCTTCTGATATTCCTTGCAGAGACGGACACTTCAATTTCAGATTGAGCTGAAATAAAAGGAATAAAAGCTGAGTATAAAAAAATCAAAACTGTGCATATGCTACTTTTGCAGCACCCCTTGTAGTGTATACAAGTATCCTGAACAATTCATTAATCATCATACCACATTTCTAAGAGACAAGAGGTACTTTCATTCTACTTTCAATTGAAGAACTAAGAACGACAGGCTAAGTGGCCAATTTTGATAGCATTTAAAGAGCTAATGAATAGTCTGCCAAGATTTATCATCAGGTTTTTTTCTTTTTTTCAATAGCCAGAGGGTGCATGTGCTTCCATAACAAAGAGGGGGATTGGCGGGAGGTGAGAAACCATTCATCAATGGGGCATGGTAACACCACAACTCCTTTTCCTGTTTCTCCATCCTGTCCAGATTTGGGATGTATATTCACCTAATATGTTTTTTCAAGTGCCAGGTCCAAGATTGGAACCTTGCAGTCAGCCATGTGGGATCTAGCTCCGTAATCCACTAGGCCACTAGGGCAGCCCAGTAATCAGTTCCTTTTTAATTTCAAAGAATGATTTCCGACTGCTGAACTGCTTCAATATAATACATCAACATGAAGCAGAAACATAAATCTACTGGGTTGTCAGGAAAATCATGACATATTTTTGCAGAGAAAAACAGAAAAGTATGTCATAACTTTTTGACAAACTACTAGTTTCAAACTACATGAAAAGCCAAAGGCCAAGTTTCATGTAAGAGTTTAACAATTACACAACTGGAGCATATCAAGTCCAAATGAGGTATCATTTCAAATATTTCCTTAAGATAATTTCACTTAGAGGTAAAGGAAATGGACTGTAGAACAAAGTGGTTTATATCCAATAAGGATTCCAAAGGATAGGGATAAAAATTCTCTAAGGTAAAAATCTCTAGAAGCCATAGTTTTTCACTGTGGTCTGACTGATAATTTCTCCTTCAGTGAGTCTAACAGTGCTATTTTTTTCTTCTAGTGTTAGAATAAACCAAAGTTACCTAAGTTGCTTTGAATGCCAAATGAAATGAACGGTCTTTGGTTAAAAGTTTCCTTGGGGGAACCAGCAGTTGTCATAATGGCTATGTCGCTGGAATCCCATGTAGTTGACTTTGGTTCGAGTCCCGGACTCGGTGGCTTAAACTCATGCCAGGTGCATGTGTGCACGTGCCCAAGCTCCCCAGAGGAGAATGGAAGAGAAGGGATCGTAGCATGGCCATCTCCCCTGGGCGGGGGAGGGATTTCTCGCTCCCTGTCTGTCCCTGTCTTTCTGATGAGTGCACACATCCTATAGCAAACAAACCTCTCCAAAAAAAAAAAAAAAAAAAGTTACCTTAGGGCAATCTTGTGGCCGGGTGGTTAAGGGACCCGGATTCCACATGGCCGACCACATGTCCAAGTCCTGCTCCCAGTGGCTTGAAAAACATGGCAGGGAAATGTGTGTGTGCACCCAAAATCCCAACAGAATAAAGAAATGGAAAAGGGATTACAGCATGACAATAGGGCAGTACTTTCGCCCACTCCCTCTTTCTATTTCTCTCTTGCATGTGCTCTCTGATAATTATTTTTTTAAAAAGCTTTCTTATAAGAAATATACATTATCTTTAAATTCTAGTGTCAAACTAAATTCAGTAAAATTGTCCACATCATAAAACACATGAAAATTCAACTACAGCTCAGAAAATCCTCTTCTGAACTTCCATTAATGACCAGGTGGAATGCTAGGTAATCAAACACATACTGAGTTATTGGGTATGACATACTTTTCTATGTAAAAATGCATCATGACCTTCGCAACAACCCGACATTATCTCTTCTGTGTACAGTTACTCCTCTATTAACCCCTACTGCCCTGCCCTCTGTTTCCTTAAATACAGATTAAAAAGATGCTAGGCAGGTGTGCATGCTTGTCCCAAATCCCAAGAGACAAATGGAGAAGAGACTGGTGTAACCATGCACCCTGGGGGCAGGGGGATGCTTTCTCACTTTTCCTTCCTCTCTTTCTCCATGTTGCTCTCTGGCAAGTGCATGCATCCTCTAGAGGAGGAGAAGAAAAGAAAGAGAACAAGAACAAAGAGGAGAAGAAAAAACAGATCTGTCTACTTATTTACTATTTATTACAAAATGTTTGCGTTATTTAAAATAGTCCTTCATTCAGATGAAGATATGTACAAAAAGAAACAGAGAAGAAGCTAATGCACAGGATATGATGTGACCCTCCCTTGAAAAATAAATAGTTGTTTACTTATTTATTCTTCCATGAGTAAGACAGAGACAACGCCCCTACAGGGATTCAATGCCATGGCCCACACTTACCCTTGGCCAGCCCTAAATCACACACAAGTGTGTGCTTGGCACACTTGAGGAGCTCTCTGGACTTGAACTGGGACCCTTCATGGGGGACTACCTTACAGACTGTCATGCTTTACCACTGAGCCACCACCATCTGGCCCCTATAAACATGACCCTTCTAACCTTTTTAAAAGAATTATTTAATTATAATATTATTATTGGCTTTTAATTTGTGCTATAGGGCAATGTACTGACCAGTGAGACACACACACAGAGAGAGAGATACATAGATAGATAGATAGATAGATTGATAAATATGGAAAGTGAGAAAGTAAGCCACCAGGTCCAGGACTCAAACTGCAGTTGGCCACATGGGAGTCCATTGACTTAATCACCACACCACCTCCTGACATCCCCACCCCTTCTAATCTTATTACTAAAAAAAGTGAATTCAACATGAGTGAGGGCACTGAGCAGAACAGCACATATATGTGGGAAGAGACAGAGCTAATTCCTATAACACCAACATCTCTATTTGTAAAGCATTTTTAAAAGCATGTTCACATCTGCTATCCTATTTAGTAATCACTACAATCCTGTGAAGAGGATAAAAATTATCATTCCCATTTTACAAGTATAACCTTAGAAACCAAGGTAGAAATGTAATATAATTGGTGCACTAAGGCTAATGGACTTGGAAAACCTTTAGAAAATATTACAAGTACTTTCTACTCAATTTAGAAAAGTAACCTTAGAGTTCAAGGTCATGAGTACAATTCATGAACAGTTCCACTAAATATTACTTTTCTTGGGGGGGAGGAGAAGTTTTTGCTATAGGGTGTGTGCGCTCACCGCCCACCAGAGACAGAGAGACATAAAGTGAGAAATCCCCCCCCCGGGGGGGATGGCCATACCACAATCCCTTCTCCTCCATTCTCCTCTCGGGATCTTGGGCACGCACGTGCACACGCCCGGCATGAGTTTAAGCCACCAGGTCCAGGACTCAAACAGCGATCGACTACATGGGAGTCCAGCGACATAGCCATTATACCAACTGCTGGTCCCCCACTAAATACTCTTAAATGACACAAAAAAAGGTAACAGTTTTATTACTGGCAATTACATGACAGCATGTGTGACTGTAAGTATGTGTGTATACTGACAGTGGAATCATTATTTTAAAATTACATGGTCAAACTAATGTAACCTTAAAGGAAACTTGGCAATTGCCAGGAGGACAACTACAGAAGAACCAAAAAGTAAATTAGCCCCTTAGGAGGAAAATTCCAACAACCCTACCCACTCTGCTGAATCCCTATATCAAAACAGCAGGAAAAAAAAAACCATGGCCCATTCATGAAGTTATGGTTGTTTCTTCCATGCCCACCTATGTTCTGGGTGACTTTTCCTAAGTGACAACCCTCCTGATGTCTCATTTTCCTTATCTGAAAAATTAACCATCATTCAAGTGTTCCCCAGTTTCACAGAGTCCTGAAGTTAGGACTCATCACTAAAAGGTCTGTTTTAACCTATACAAAGCTGAGAATGAAAATTAGACACTGACTAATGGGGAAATGCTCACTCATCATAGAAGCCCAATCTAATTCCATAAATTAACCTATATACCAGGATAAGAAAGAGATCTTCACCTAATCATACAGGACCAGCCTTAACAACTGCTGATTATTTTACACACAAACTACTGTACAAAAAGACAGAGAACCCGTCTAGTAAAAATGGCAGGTCATTTAGAGAAAAGTGTTTTTCTCACCTGAGAGCCTCATACAGAAAGCCATATAGTCAACATGATTACTTTCTGGGAAGAACTAAAGATCCCAAGAGCTATTGCAGAGACATGAACTACAACTACCTCAAAGCTTTGACCAAGACCTAAGAGAGACCAGAAGTTGGGGGGAGGAGTCATAGCTGGTGTTTTTTTGTTTTGTTTTGTTTTGTTTTCATTAAGCTAACATTTGATTTTTTTGGTAATATATTTACAACGTTTTGAGGTAAAGAGAAAATAAAAATTAAAAAAACCTTTTGCCCTCACATCCTTATGTCCCATAGACCAACTCTCAAGTCTTCCTCCCAAAATGATTGTCTTTTCTCTTGAAGTTTCTAGTATATCCTTCCCAAGATTTTCAAAAATCAAGTACGTAGAAACATTATATATTATTTTTCTACTTCTTTTATATAAATGTAGGTATTTTACAATCTACTCTGCATCTTGCTTTTTACCTTGGAGCTCTCTTCCTGTCAGTGCATAGAGATTTTCCTCGTTCTAAGATTGTGAAGTATTGAACCATATGGATAAACCATAATCTATTTAATCAGTCCTCTACTGAAAGGCACTGCCATGATTTTAGTTTAGGAAAAAATACCTCTGGGGACCCAGCAGATGGCATAATAGTTACATTGCTGAACTCCCACGTAGTTGAATGTGGTTTGAATCCAGGACCCAGTGGCTTAAACACTAGGTGCACGTGTGTGCATGCCCAAAGTCGCAAGAGGAGAGTGGAGGAGAAGGGACTGTGGCACGACCAGCACCCTGGGTTGTGATTTCTCACTTTCTGTCTCTGTCTCTCTGTCTCTCTCTCTCTCTCTTTCTGGCAGCTGCACATCCTCTATAACAAAAATCTCTGTCTCAAAAAATAAAAAAAACTGTTTTCAAATATGCTTATATTTCTATTACTTGACTTATCACCTCCAGACCCGATCCT